ATCTTCCTACCTCTGCCTCCCAACATACTTGGTTTGTAGGCATGAGCCACTAAGCCCAGCAAATATTTTTTAAAAAACCAGGCTCAGGAGGTTCTTTTTTTTTTTTTTTTTCCCTCACTGCAACCTCTGCATCCCAGGTTCAAGCAATTATCTGGCCTCAGTCTCCTGAGTAGCTAGGATTATAGGTATGTACCACCACACCCGGCTAATTTTTGTATTTTTAGTAGAGATGGGGTTTCGCCATGTTGGCTAGGCTGGTCTCGAACTCCTGACCTCATGATCTGCCCACCTTGGCCTACCAAAGTGGTAGGATTACAGGTATGAGCCACCACACCCAGCCAAGGTTCATATATTAATGAAATAGATGTTTAATCTATCATGTCATTTCAATTTTTTTCTAAGTGTGACAGTAGAGGGAATGGAAGAAGTCCTGGCTGGGAGTTCAGAGGGCATGGACTCCAGGCCCACTTCTCTCCATGTGTGAAACTTAAGTTGAGTGACTCCTCCAGTGGCCCCAGACACAACTAGGAAATGTGCCTAAACTGGCTGCCATTTTGAAATCTTTGGTTTATATAACTATAAACTCAACTGTCTTCACTGGCCTCTGCTTCCTCCCTAGAGTTATTGTCGGCTGGGCGTGGTGGCTCATGGGCATGGTGGCAGGTGCCTGTAATCCCAGCTACTCAGGAGGCTGAGGCAGGAGAATTGCTTGAACCTGGGAGCAGGAGGTTGTGGTGAGCCAGGATCATGCCATTGCACTCCAGCCTGGGTGACAAAGCCAGACTCCGTCTCAAAAAAAAGAAAAGAAAATTATTGTCAACTGAAGATTTATTTTGCATAAAGGGCTACAGACGGCAGGTGGCCATTCTCAGTCTGAGAAGTGTAGTCTTCCAGCCAGAAGCCAAAAAGGGGCACTTTGAGGGAAAGGCAAAGGGAACAGGAATATATGCTGAGCAGGGCGGCCAAATACACTTATTTATTTATTTGTTTATTGAGACAAGGTCTCACTCTGTCACCCAGGCTGGAGTGCAGTGGCACAATCTCAGCTCACTGCAACCTCCACCTCCCAAGTTCAAACTATTCTTATGCCTCAGCCTCCCAAGTAGCTGGGATTACAGAAATACACGTATTTAATAAGTGATAGGAGGAGTTATGATTATTTATGAAAGGATAAACATGTGCATGTGCAAGAGAGCTTCACACCCCTTCAAGGGTCCCTTGCACACACACAAAAAAAGGCAGCATTAGCATGATCTGAGGGTGGAGTTCTCAGCCCTCTGAAGTTAAAAGGTGAAGCAGAGGACACAAAACCCCTCACTCACTCTTCTGTAGATTGGCCAGAACCAATCTGTGATTGGTGGTCTCTTATCAGGACAGAATGATAGTTAGTTGTGTCAAAACTGCAAAAGGAAGGAGCAGCAGCCATGTGGTTGGTTGGAATCAGGAGTGGACTCTGAGCATGTCTTCCTTGATGAGCTGATCTTCTGTATGCCGGCTCTAAACACCCTGACTGAGCTGATAAACATTAACTCTCTTAATTTGCCAACCGTATACCTTGAACATTCTCCCTTTCCATACTTCCAAGTGCCATGATACTCTACAGCATCTCCTCTCCTCATGTGATTTTTGCCCTACCTCTGTAGCTGCAAGAAGCACCAAGCATGTGCTTGGCTGGCACATTTTATTTATTTATTTATTTGTTTTTATTCTTTTGAGTTGGAGTTTTGATCTTGTCACCCAAGCTGGAGGGCAGTGGTGTGATTTTGGCTCACTGCAACCTCTGCCTCCTGGGTTCAAGCAATTCTCCTGCCTCAGCCTCCCAAGTAGCTGGGGTTACAGGCAGCCACCACTACACCCAGCTAATTTTTGTATTTTTAGTAGAGACGGGGCTTCACCATGTTGGCCAGGCTGGTCTTCAACTCCTGACCTCAGGTGATCTGCCTGCCTTAGCCTCCCAAGGTGCTGGGATTACAGGTGTGAGCCACGACGCCCGGCTGGCTGGCACATTTTAGATGCTGTATTAGTCAAGGTTTTTCTGAGAAACAGAACCAATAGGATGGGGACACACACACACACACACACACACACGCAGACAGACAGTTTATTTTAAGGAATTGGCTTATGGAATTGTAGAGGCTGGCAGGTTCGAAAACTCCAGGGCCAGCAGGCTGAAGACCCAGGGAAGAGTAGCAACTTGAATATAAAGGCTCTATGCTGACAGAATTACCTCTTCCTTAGGGGAGGTATGTCTTTCTTCTATTAAGGCCTTCATCTGATTGGAATGAGGTCATCCACATTAGGGAGAGTAATCTCCTTTAATCAAAGTCTACTGATTTAGATGTGAATTTCATCTTAAAGTATACCTGTACAGAAACATCTAGAGCAATGTTTGACCAAATATCTGGGTGCTGTGGCCTAGCCAAGTTGACAAAATTAACCGTCACAGATGCTCACTAAATCTTGAACTGAATTGATAACACAGGATATGGGAGCACCTACTTTTGGTTTCCTATTTCTCCTGTACTAGCTTTCTTCTGTTTTCTTCATTTTCCCCCATTTAAATTCATTTTAACAAATATATACAGAGGTCCTATCCTGTGGTATGTTTTTCTGTAAACTTTTCTGCTATTTTGTGTCTGCTAGTGAGTCCAAGAGGCCCTGCCTATTAACCATTTCCTGGTTAACAGGAAACTCCCTTTTCTTTTTTTTTTTTCCTCTCATTATTTAGGCAGTCATGTATGTATAATCACATATTCAGGCCCAAAAAGTGGCAAAGAGTTAATTTCTGTTTTTTGATTCTGTGCTCCTGTTTGCCTTCTTTGAAGGAGTTTTAATCACAGTGTGGTAGGAGAGGAACTAACCACCAGGGTCTTAAGACTTTTTTGTATCAAACTAAAAGGGAGTTTATTCTAAAAGCGTGACCTTATCCGAATATTTGGAATCAATTACGGTCATAATACTATTGCAAATGAGAGAGACGTGCTTATAATGTGAAACTAAGTAGTTTTATTTAAAGGATATAAAGTTGCATATACAAAATGATTCCATTTTTGTTCAAAAAGCATGCACATAAAGGAAGACACATCATAGGCATCTTCATTACTCACTGATACACAATCAATTGCTATGTTGAGGCTCTTGCTGAGAAACAAACTTGTAGGACTTGGATCTGATCTCTAAGATACTTCAGACACTTCATTTATAAGGTAGGAACAATGGTGCTGTTCTTAACAGATTTGTCACTTACAAGAATGATCTTTATATATTCTTCAGACGTTAAACACCTGCTGTGTAAGTATATGCTAGGGCCCTAGCAGCCCCTGCTCTTCTAGAGCACCCAAGTCATCTCATTTTTAGGCTTCTAACATATTTTTTAAATTACAAAAAATGGTGTTTATATGTTTCTTAAATCACTTTATTGAGATATGACTGACATACAAAAAGCTGTACGTATTTAGTGCATACAACTTGATGAGTTTGAAGATAAATACAGTAACTTTTTAATTATAAAAGTAATGTGTAATTGTCAAAATGTTGGGAAAGCTATTAGGAATTTCTCCTAAAAGAAATACCCACACACATTTACAAATATAAATGTTTCTGGATGTTCTGCATAAAAGTGTTCCCAATGGCAGAAAATTGGAAATATCCTCAATATCCATCTACAGAGGAGTATTCGTTTCCTTCCCCTAAATTGTGACATAACTATTTATGGAAAAACTATGGAGCTGCTTAAAACCATGAGGTAGACATAGACATGCTCACATGGGAAGAGCTTAAAGACACTTAACTGAAAAAATAAAATTTTAGGCTGGGTGCAGTGGCTTATGCTTGTAATCTCAGCATATTGTGAGAACAAGGTGGGTGGATCACCTGAGGTCAGAAGTTCAAGACCAGCCTGGCCAAGATAGCAAAATTCTGTCTCTGTTAAAAATACAAAAATTAGCCAGGCTTGGTGGCGCAGGCCTGTAGTCCCAGCTACTTAGGAAGCTGGGGCAGGAGAATCGCTTGAACCCTGGAGGCTGAGATTGCACCACTGCACTCCAGAGTGGGTAGAGAGCAAGACTCCATCTCAAAACAAACAAGCAAGCAAACAAAAATTTAAAAGATTTAAAAAGATGAATATATATAGCCTTATTTATGTTCGTGAAAAAAGCTCTGTGTGTGCACATGCACAAACGCACATGTATGTATGTAAAATGGCTAGGAGGATATACATCAATTGTCAATGATTACAGTTATCTCTGAGGAGGGGGATGGAACAGTTGTCAGGGAATAGGAAGAGAGGTAAAGGGAAACCTAATTTTTACAATAAGAATTTTTGTATATTATGTGTATAATGAAATGTTAGAAGACATAGACAAAATAGAAACCATTCACAGTTCATGATTCAGGTTCTAAAATACCATTTTTGGAAAGGCAGATTTGAGGACTGTTCTCCAGTCTCCTGGCTGGGCTGCCTTGTGAATACACCCTTTCTCTAGTGTAAAACTCGTGGGCCTAGTGATTGGTATATTGTGTGAAGGCAAACGAGCCTGGTTCCCTAACAGGAGCTGAACTGTCTCTTCCTGCATGCAGCTAGCAATAAAGATTCCTCTAGGAGAGGTACGCTCTCCATGCCAGGACGAGAAAATAGCCTTTATCACCAGAGATTTGGAACTGGAGGTGGCATTGGAATGGAATAAACATTCTTGCAAAGTAACCCTTATCTTCCACCTGTTTTATACCCCACCCCCCCCCCATATATCTCCTATGTGTTTCCCTAGAAATTTTTACCACCCTAGCCAGATTTTCTTTGTCCTGTCATTTCTTCTTAAATTTATCACTTTTTCTAAAAAGCATAAAAGCATCTTGCTTTGGCCACTTTCTTTGGACTTCACTTAACATCCCCATGTACATGTAAAATTAATAACATGTGTATACTTTTGTTAATCTGCCTAGTGTAAATTTGGCTTCTAGATCCAGCTGATTAGCCCACTAAGAGCTGAAGAGTGTGTGTGTTGGGGGAGTGCGGGGTGGCAGGTGATCTCTGCCTCCCTTACTGGTGAACTTGATTTTTGTAAACACTCAAAAGTCACTTAGGCTAGAGTTGGAGATGGAGATTGAGATTCACTGGGAAGGCCACAAGAGAACGTTTTGAAGTAATGGAAATATTCCATATCTTGATCATGGTGTAAGGACACTTCATTATATACGAATTATGGATCAATTTTTTAAAAAGCTCTCAGATCAAGGTTAGTCATTACAGCAAGGCAACAGACATAGCAAATTTAAAATTTTGGAGAAGTATACAGAATACCTGCATATGGTGATTCTGATTTGCTTCAGAAGTGACATGTTTAATGTATTTAGACAAAAATACTCTTCGTTTTTCTTTGCTTTTATTTACGACCAGGGTAAAAGAATTCTATGCTGCTGCCAAATAAATGATGAGTCAAAATTAATTAACTGAATCCTTAACCATTCTAAGAGGCAGATATTATTATCCCACTTTATGCGTGAGGGCCCTGAACCCTGGTAAGGGCGGCGCACTCAGTATCTTCTTCCAAGCCTCTGGGCACACCCCGGTCCACCACAGCCTTGCAAAGCCGGACCTGAGCACGGGCGAAGGCATCAGCCGAGGCCACACGGGAGTCACTGACGGGTGACAGCCGGCTTTTCGGTGTCGCCACATTCCGGAACCTTCAGAGCCTTTGGGGCGGGAGACGGAAGTCCCATCCGTTTTCGCTTGGGTGCAGAAGGGCGGGGCGGTGCCAGGAAGCCGCCTGGGGGCTCCGAGATTTGCTTAAACCCGGCGGCCAAGCTCAGGTACTGGGGCGCTCGCCCGCCGCCCCAAGGACCTGCGTAGTCCCGGACCCGGCGACCAGGCACCACCCCTGCCCGCGCCCCCGACCACCAGCAGCAGCCAGGCCTCTTCCCGCGCCCCGGGAGCCCGCGCCGCGCCCTTCGCCCGCGCGTTTCTCTCCCGGCTACGAGCAGGTACGCGCGCCCCCGGCCCTCGCCCGCGCGCTCCCCGCCCCGCTGCGAGCAGGTACGCGCGCCCCCTCCGCGCTCGCCTCCGCGCCCCCCACCGCGCCCCACGCTACCCTCCCCGGCCTCGGGCGCGCTCCGAGTGTGGCGGAGCCGTGAGGATTCCCAGTTTTGCAAATCGTGGGCGCGTGTCAACAGCCCCGTTTCTCCCCAGAGCCGGGCACGGCCCGGAAGCGGCTGATCAGAGCTTAATTCTGAATGTATAGTTCGGGTACGAGAATGTGACCCGTGAAGTTCAGGGGAGTTAAGGAATTAACAGCGTTCCGAAAGCAAACGTTAAAGTGAATTTACAACCGAAAAAGATACTGGTCTTCTTCCCCCAGCCTCGCTTGTAACTCACCAGAAACACACAATAGGGTGGAGCCAGAAGGAATTACAGAAAGGACAATGAGGACGTTGAGAAGGAAGGTATGGAGGGTTAAAGTTCGTCCTCAGAGGCCAAGGAGCGGAGCTACTGTCTGAAAATCAGCGCAGGACGGGACTTCCGGGAGCCTGCATTTCCCCTCTTTTCAGTGGGCAGACCGCAGTCCCGGGAGTCTGTTTTCCCACAGCTCTGCTCAGCAGAGTCAGGTCTAGCAGCCCAGACACTCAGTGCCTAGGCTTCATGGTAAATAATAAGCTATGTTAATAACACAAATGTCCTTTGTGAGCTCAGAAACTCAGCATTACAAGTAACCAGGTACTGGAACACATCGGTCTTCGCCGTTTACTCCTTCTCCAGGGGTTTGCCAGCTTGCATTCCATGGCCAACAGCAATGCAGCTCCAGAAGGACTTCTGGAAGCCCCATGACTTGAACTAGACCCTAAGTAAATAGGGTTTAGATAGGGGGAGCGGAGGGAAGAGTTTCACCTGAGGGGAGCATTAGCTAGTCTGCCAGCCCCTTATAAAAGTATTGGCCTGGAAGGGATGGAGGGCTTTGACCTGAAAGCCACAGGAAATAGGGAATCCTGGGGATTTGGCTGAAGGAGGGGGGCTCTTAGGAAATGCACCAACAGGGAAGCCAGCGCTTTACCAGGGATTTCACTCATGGTGGGTATATTATTAATCGAGATTCTGATTCTCTAGAAGCTGATCATTTCCAAGAGAAACAAAATTTAAACATTGCTGTTGAAAGAAAGGTTGTGGGGAGAAAATGTTCTAGTTCTAAAACAGAACACCCATTTTCCCTGGTTGTATGTGAATAATACAACATGCTTACTATGTGCCAAGCACTCTAACAACTTTGCTTTTTTTTTAGACGATCTTGCTCTGTTGCCCAGGCTGGAGTGCAGTGGCGTGATCTCGGCCCACTGCAACCTCCGCCTTCTGGTTTCAAGCAATTCTCCTGTCTCAACCTCCTGAGTAGCTGGGACTACAGGCATGCACCACCACATCTGGCTAATTTTTGAATTTTTAGTAGAGATAGGGTTTCACCATGTTGGCCAGGCTGATCTCGAATGCCTGACCTCAGGTGATCCATCCACCTCAGCCTCCCAAAGTGCTGGGATTACAGGCATGAGTCACTGCGCCCATCCAACTTTATGAAACTTAATTTATTTATTTGTAACAACAAATCCAGGAGGTTGTTACTTTTTAAAATCAGTGCCATTTTACAAATATGGAGACTGAGGTACCTAGAGGTTGCACAAGGTAAGAAGATCCGGGCTGAGGCTCAGTGGTGTGATACCAAGCATCCTAGCCTGGCTGGAATCGAAAGATTTGGGTTCCAGTACCTCCACTCCTCTTGTTTTGTGAATTTAGCTATCTGAGCCTTCATTTTCTTATCTGTGAAATGCATGCTGTAATCCCTCCTATGCTACTGTAATACTAGGGAGACAATGAATGTGCAGGCGCTTTGTGAACCAATAGGAAGTATAGAGCCTTGCACTTCTAAGGTCAAATCCCAGCTAAAAAGAGAAAATGATGAGCTGGGTTTGACTTGCAGAATTTAGTGGGCCTGCTACTCACCAAGAGGCAAGAGATACAGTTGTAGTTACAGTGATAGACTTTGGAGTCAGATGGACCTATGTTGGGAACCCAGCCCTGCCACTTATTAGCTCTGTGACCTGAGACAAGTTACTGAACATTTCTAAAAGTGCATTATCTCCATGATCCTCCATTTGATTGTATGTAAAATGGGCTTTACATTCCTTATAGAGCAATGATTAGGATTACGTGAGATGCCATTGATACAATGCCTTGCAAGTAGGGAGTGCTCAATAAAGCATAGACGGAGTCATTGTTTTTTCTGGTTTTTCTTTCTCCTCATCCTATTTCCTTTGTCTTAATTTCCCAGCAAGCACACCCTCTCCAGAGCCCAGCATGTGAGACGGACTGATGGAGAGGTATGTGGCTGCTATGGTGTTGAGTGCAGCTGGAGATGCCCTGGGGTTCTACAATGGAAAGTGGGAGTTCCTCCGGGATGGGGAGAAGATACACCGGCAGTTGGCCCAGCTGGGCGGCTTAGATGCCCTAGACGTGAGAAGGTGGAGAGTCAGTGACGACACAGTGATGCACTTGGCCACGGCAGAAGCTCTTGTGGAAGCTGGGAAAGCCCCTAATTTGACTCGACTGTATTACCTCCTTGCTAAGCATTATCAAGACTGCATGGAAGACATGGATGGCCGGGCACCAGGTGAGCACAACTGGTGGGAGGTGCAAAGTGGGCAAAGAATAAAACAGGCCCAAGGAAATCATTAAGAAGGTTGATGGAGATTTAAATAACAGAGACAATAGTGTTTGTCAATGCAATAAAAATAGAAACAACAGCCACGGTGGTGGGTCATTCTAGCAATTTGGGAGGCCAAGATGAGAGAATCTCTTAAGCCCAGGAGTTTATTAAAAAATAGATATGTATCTCTGTGTTGGGAAGGGTCTTAAAGAACATGTACAAAGATGTTACTAATTATATCTGGGTGATGAGAGTATTTATAGTTTTTTTATTTTTACTTATTTGTATTTCTAAGTTTTCTGTGATGAATAAGTAAAAAGAAAAATGTGTATTTTTTCTTTGTAAAGAAAATACAGCTGGGCATGGTGGCTCTTGCCTGTAATCCTAGCTCTTTTGGAGGCTGAGACAGGCAGATCACCTGAGGTCAGGAGTTCAAGACTAGCCTGACCAACATGGTGAAGCCCCATCTCTGCTAAAAACACAAAAATTAGCTGGGTGTGATGGTGCACGCCTGTAATCCCAGCTACTCAGGAGGGTGAGGCAGGAAAATCGCTTGAACCCTGGAGGCTAAAGTTGCAGTGAGCCCATATTGTGCCATTGCATTCCAACCTGGGTGACAGAGTGAGACTCCATCTCAAGGAAAAAAAAATGCAAAGGGTTTTGTAGAGACTTCTGGTCACAGATTTGCCCACAAGTGGTTGTTGCCCACTTTGGCAACTTGTTACAGCCACTTGGGCCAGCGGGTGATTTTCCCTGGCCCAGCTGACCCACCTCTCCTATTCGAGGCTGCCAGGGCCGCCATAACAAAATGCCATCGCCTGAGTGTCTGAAACAATGGAAATTTAGCTCTCACAGCTCTGGAAGCTGAAAGTCCAAGTCAAGGTACTGACATTTGCTTTCTTCTGAGGCCTCTCCTTGGCTTACAGACGGCCGCCTCCTTGCTGTGCCCTCACATGGTCTTTCCTCTGTGTGCATGCATTCCTGGTGTTTCTGTGTGTCCACATTCCTCTTCATATAAGGACACCAGGCAGATTAGATGAGGGCCTTCCCTAAAGGCCACATTTTAGCTTTATCACCTCTTTAAAGGCCCTGTCTCCAAATCGAGGTACTTAGAGCTACAGCATTTGAAATGTGGGGACACAATTCAGCGCATAACACCTCCTGATGAAAGCTTCCCACCACCATACCTAGGGGGCCCTGTCACCCCAAGGATTGGCTTTGGATGCCAGTCTCTGGTTATTCTTTCTCGGCATCTGATAGCTCTTCATTTTAGCAAGTGGAAAGTTTTTTTTGTCCACCTGTGGCATCCGTGAACATTGTTGTGAATACACTGACCAGTAAAGGAACAGCAGAGCCACACTCCATTGTATGTCGCTGCCATCACTTGGCTCACATGCGTATTCACAGGTCCCCAGTAGGAAAGGTCGGTGACATAAGCCTGCTTACATCACTGTCACGAGGGGATGGCCGTGGCCCAGAGGTTCAGTGACTCACCAATGGCACATTGTTCCCCTGAATCCACTGCTCCTTATCTGAGCCCAGGGCTTCACTCTAGAATTTTTGGCCCTTTCCCCCCTTTTTGATATTCAGGAATTCCAATTGTGAGGTTCTTATTGGACTCTGTAAGGGATTGGGCTTTGGAGTCTGATGGATTTTACCCAGCCACTAACTACTTATGTGATTTTGAGGAAGTTTCTTAAGCACTGAGCTTAAAAGTCTTATTTATTTAAAAAAGAGAATGATATGCTTACTTCTTAAATTTGTTGTGATATCTCAGTAGTAACTGGTAAAAATTCCCAGGGTCCCTATATAAGTCTGCTGCTTTTATTAGCATTATCATACCAAGGGTTATATATAAAGAAAGACACATTGTTGGGTGGGATTTGGAGTTTGGGGGCATTCATCATATTTTTTGGCTTTCCCTTTTCATAAAAAAAATACTTGGAGACAGAGTTTAGTTCTTTATTCCTGCTGGGGCCTTTGCTTTGGTTATGCTAACTCCTATCCCCTATATGACTCTTCCCCAGGTAATGCCTCAGTGCACAATGCCCTGCAGCTGAAGCCCGACAAGCCCAATGGCTGGAGGATTCCCTTCAACAGCCATGAGGGCGGTTGTGGGGCTGCCATGCGGGCCATGTGCATCGGTCTCAGGTTCCCACACCCCAGCCAGCTGGACACACTGATCCAAGTGAGCATTGAGAGCGGTCGGATGACTCACCACCACCCAACAGGCTACCTGGGGGCCCTTGCGTCTGCTCTTTTTACAGCCTACGCTGTGAATGGCAGACCACCCTTGCAGTGGGGAAAAGGACTGATGGAGCTACTACCAGAAGCTAAAAAGTACATTGTCCAATCAGGCTACTTTGTAGAGGAAAATCTTCAACACTGGTGAGTCTCTAGGTGCATGCCCTGCTTGAACATGCTTGAATCTGTGTGTGCACATCCACCTGCACATATATGTCTTGGATTCAGAGATCACAGCAACCCTCATTGTTCTCACTGACCAGTCCTCTTTCTACCCACCTTTGAAGGATTTCAAGTTCCCTTCCAGTAATGATCGCCCAAGATAGCCAAGTGGACACTTCAATGGCCAGGGCAGCTGCGGTGCTTCCTCTTACACAGAGATCCTGTAGTTTTTGTGGCTTTCCTATGCTACCACGAATTTTCGTGCCTATTTTCTACTTTCCTGGAATTTGCTTTTTCAATGTTGTCTTGGTACACAAATAATATTTTGAATATTCTGGTTAAAATGCCAGAGATAGGTTTTTTCACTAGCTAACTAATAAGTAGTAAATCCACATATTCCCCTTCTTGTGAGTTCACTTCACATTCTCTTTCTTAGAATAAAAAGAGGCTTTCTGATGAAGTCACCCACAGTTGTGATGTCCTGAAGTTCCCCCTTGAAAGGTGACACATGACATTACTCTCAACTACACAGGAAAAATAAACCTTTATTTCTTACCCTTTAACTTGATATATATCTTCTTTATTTAGCAACAGGATCAATGCCTTATATAGAACCTTTTGAAAAATGTATTGAATGAATGGCACTTATATAGAGATAATTTTGATGTTTAAAGAGTTTATGATACTAGTGCAAGAAGCCGAAATTATGTTGGAATTTTCTCTGTTCACACATCCATCTGGTGCTTTTTGTATGAATTTTCACTTTATTTTTTCAATTGACTCTAGGTTTTTTTTTCCTTTCTACAGGTCCTACTTCCAAACCAGCTGGGAAAATTACCTAAAACTTCGAGGGATTTTGGATGGAGAATCAGCCCCTACCTTTCCAGAGTCCTTCGGTGTGAAGGAGAGGGATCAGTTCTACACCTCTGTGAGCTACTCTGGCTGGGGTGGCAGCAGTGGGCATGATGCCCCCATGATTGCCTATGATGCTCTCCTTGCTGCAGGAGACTCCTGGAAGGAGCTTGCCCATCGAGCCTTTTTCCATGGTGGAGACAGTGATTCTACAGCTGCCATTGCTGGTTGCTGGTGGGGAGTTCTGAATGGTTTTAAAGGAGTGAGTCCCTCCAACTATGAGGAACTAGAATACAGAAACCGGCTGGAAGAGACAGCAAGGGCTTTATATTCTCTCGGATCAAAGGAAGACACTGTAACTTCCCTTTAGGGAGATGTGATGTTTGTTTCTGATGGATTCTTCTTTTGTGTATTTCCTTTTCTGCTATTTCTTTTCACTTTTTCCAAAGTCAAGAGTCTCAACCTTGTACTCTGGGAATTTTGAGATAACAAGTCCCTTGGGCACCTTAAGCTCAGTGTTTTCAGGCTCATCCTGTTCTTCTAGAATCTATCCCTCTTCTTACACCGAAGAGTCTAGCTCAGTTGTTGGGGTCAACGTCTCCCAAGTAAAAAATCTCATAACCTCTTATTTGAGTCTTCATTTTCATCATCTACTTATTCTAAAAGTTTTTTCTGTTTGTCTCAAATTAGGCTCACACAAAGCAGACTCTGAGACAAACATCTGAATATAAGCAGTTTACTTGGGAGATGATTCCAGGAAATACTGGTAGGAGAATGGGGAAGTGAGACCAGGAAGGGAAGGGAGCTAGTACAAGGTCTGTTAATGAGCAGGTTTGCACTGTGGGCAGTTGGCACTCTGCCATCTGAGTCCTCTGTCTAAAGCAGTCCTCAGAGTTGCCCCATTTGAAGGGCAAGCAAACCCGGGGTATTTATTCACTGTCCTCCACCTGCCACTGTTTGAGGACCACTGCCAGGGATGCTAACTACCTGGTACTTCTTGACTTGCCCTTTGTACAAGCCAAACCTGAATGTCTTCGGTAAAGACTCAAGAGATACTTGCAGGGGCAAGCTGTAAGGGGCATGGGACAGTGAGGGATATATGTGGGGTCCTAACAATATCTGCCAGGCTGGTCTACCTCCTTAAATACACTCTAAATCTATCACCTCTATTACCTGTATCACCTCTATTACCTTCTTGCACTGAGGATTTTTCAGCTGGATTTCTGCAATCCAAGCTGCTCAGGTCTGGGGAGATGCTGCTCTGAGCTGCTTCTCCAGACTCTCCTCATCATGGCAGTTAACACGTTACCAATTTTATTACAGTCTATTTGCTTGTTTGTATTTTTTATAGACAGAACCTAGCACAGTGCTTGAGCAGGCGATAGGCATTAATCAGTATCAACTGAGTGTTATGAAATAGCCTCCTATCTGGTGCTTCCCTCATTACCCTCCAGAGTTATCTTTACGAATTACAAACTGTCTATGCTAAACTAATCATGGTCTAATTATGTTCTAATGAATACATCACGCTTTCTTCATTTCTTGATGGCCTTCCCTCTCCTTGTCTACCTGATAAATTCTTACTTGTCCTTCAAGTCCCAACTCAGATCATAGAGCTTCCTGGGTGAAACCTGCTTTGATTGTTCAGGCACTTGGCCACCTTCTCCTCACTCACTGTCTGTCCTGGCCTCGTCACCACACCAATCCTGTTGTATGGTGCTGTGTGTCTTCTGAGTCAATCCTAGGCGCATGCCGCCCAGCAGACATCCACCTGGGAAATGAGATGCCATCGTCACATTCATTTGGTCACCCTCAGTCCAGCCAGTAGGCTTGCTCTCATTTGGCTTGTTCTTAGGGGTGGGGGAAGGAACAGAGTCTTTTCCTTCTCCTTTTGAGAAAACCACAGAACATGATTTTTCATTTGCGAAATCCCTGGTTTTCAGCTGAGAGCAGTGGGGAAATGAGGTCTGAGGATAGCAGTTCTGCAACCTCCTAGTTCATCCCACAGGAATGTTTTTCCAAGTCTTTCCAGTCTCTTTAGAACACGGTGGAGGAGGGTGTGTGTGTTGTAGGGGGTAGGGAGGTAGGAGATGCAGGGAGTATCTTAGCATTTGTTGTTTCCTAGTGCAGGGCTTTCGCTATAATTGTAGACAACAGGAAAAAGCTCTTAAGAGATCCTATTAGATTTGCTTCACCAAATATCAGTCTTGATCACAGGCACATTTCAAAAAGAGGTCCGACTTTCAGACTTCTTTTTCTCAAACCTCAAAACCTCCACCCCAAACTTCACACTCAGCTGCTGACCTTACTTCCTTTGTGTGTGTGTGTGTGTGTGTGTGTGTGTGAATGTGTATGTGTGTATGTGTCAGAGAAAGGAGGGACAGAGAAGGGAGGATGAGAACGAACGGGGGAAAGAGATAAACTTTATGCATAACGTTAGGGTAAATCAATAAAGATGGTCTGACACATTGTGTGAATTTGCCATGCTTATCAAGTTAACATATGTGTATTGAACAACAGAAAAGGTCATATGTGAGGCCGGGCGCGGTGGCTCAAGCCTGTAATCCCCGCACTTTGGGAGGCAGAGGCGGGTGGATCACGAGGTCAAAAGATCGAGACCATCCTGGTCAACATGGTGAAACCCCGTCTCTACTAAAAATACAAAAAATTAGCTGGGCATGGTGGTGCGTGCCTGTAATCCCAACTACTCAGGAGGCTGAGGCAGGAGAATTGCCTGAACCCAGGAGGCGGAGGTTGCGGTGAGCCGAGATCGCGCCATTGCACTCCAGCCTGGGTAACATGAGTGAAACTCCGTCTCAAAAAAAAAAAAAAGAAAAGAAAAGGTCATATGTGACATTTCAAATGATACTTTTTGGACCTGCTGTGAGATGGTGCTTCATTTGCTTTCTTTGTTAGCCAAGATTTCTAGATGTTGTCTAGAAGTATTGGCAGTAGTTGTTTTTGTTTTGTTTTGTTTTAAGATCTATAAAATTAGCATTGGCCTCATTCACCCTTCTCTAAGATTCTCCAACCGCCTCGTTCTTCTTTCTGTACCTCTCTGGAACAAATAAACTTGCATCTTTTTATTCTTTTATTTATTTATTTTGAGACGAGTTTTTGTTCTTGTTGCACAGGTTGGAGTGCAATGGCGTGATCTCAGCTCACCACAACCTCTGCCACCCGGGTTCAAGTAGCTGGAATTACAGGCATGTGCCACCACGCCCAGCTACTTTTTTTTTTTTTTTTTTTTAGTAGAGATGGGGTTTCTCCATGTTGGTCAGAGTGATCTCGAACTCCTGACCTCAGGTGATCCACTCACCTCAGCCTCCCAAAGTGCTGGGATTACAGGCATGAGCCACTGTGACCAGCCTTTGAGTCTTTTTAAAACAGCCACTGAGCTAGTAGGAAATTGAGGGGAAGGAATGGGGACTGACTTCGCAATCCAACCAGGCTCCTGGGCCAGCTCCTCAACAATGGCTGCCTGGGGTCAGGCTGAGGACCCACAGGTCTTTTAGATAGGGACTGGGGAGCAGCCTACCATCATTTATTTTACTCTTTGGGCTTGGGATTGGGAAGAGTAACACTTAGGGAGTAAGTGAGGCTCTTTCCTTTTGGAGAAGGATTAGGAAGAGAAGAAGAGAGTATTGCTGTGTGTCAGATCATTCACAATAACCCATTAATAGATGAAGAAATTGGGCTCGGAGAGGTTGCCATCTATCCAAAGTCTCACAGGATGAGATAGAGCTGGGGTTTAAAACCAGGTCTATTTGTCCTACAAATGATGGAAAAGAAACAAACCAAGGTGCTTTTCCCAGTCTCACACAGCACTCACACTTCTACACCAAAAGGTGTGGGAGTTGTTACCCCACACACCAAGCAAGTTTCTGACAGACACCAAGTGGTTGTCCTCTAATTCAATTCTGATGCTATGTTCTGGATGATAGCATCAAATTCCACAAGTTAAGGCACAAGACTACCTCCCCCTCCCTGCCCCCACCGCCACTGCTTCAGATGCCGACCACAAGTTCCAGGTTGTGACCTGTGCTTCTGACCAACCAGCTGTAAATCAGAGTTCCCACAAAACCCTCAGGTTTGATTAAATTGATGGAGTGGCTCACAGAACTCAGGAAAACGCTTAGTTTACTGATTTATTATAAAGGATATTACAAAGGCTACAAATGTCTAGCCAGGTGGAAGAGATGCATAGGGCAAAGCATGGGGAAGGGGTGTGGAGCTTCAATGACCTTGCCAGGTACACCACCCTTTAGGAAGCCCCATGGGTTCAGCTCTCCAAACACAGTCCTTTTAGGTTTTTTTGTTTTTGTTTGTTTTTGACAGAGTCTTGCTCTGTCACCAGTCTGGAGTGCCATGGAGCGATCTCAGCTCACTGCAACTTCCACCACCCAGCATCAAGCAATTCTCCTGCCTCAATCTCTTGACCTCGTGATCCACCTGCCTCGGCCTCCCAAAGTACTGGGATTACAGGCGTGAGACACTACACCTGGCCCTTTTAGGTTTTTATAGAGGCTTATTATGTTGGCATGATTGACTAAATCATTGGCGATTCTGAATCAACTCAGCCTTTAGGCCCCTATCCCTCCCTGCAGGTCATGAGGTGGGTGGGGACGAAAGTTGCAACCCTCTAATCACATGATTGATTCCTCTGGCAACAAGCCCCCATCCAGAGGCTATCTAGGAGTCCACCAAAAAGTCACCTTATTAGAACAAAAGATGCTCCTCTCACCCAGGAAATATCAAAGGATTTAGGAGTTCTGTGTCAGGAACCAGGGTCAAAGACCAGATATTTGAACAGAAGATTAGCACCCCTATCTACAAGGGTTTTAGGAGCTCTGCACCAGAAACTCAGGGTTGGAGACCAAATACATATTTCTTACTATATCATCATACCACAGTCTTTAAAGCTCATTTTCTTTGTACACACTCTACTACACTCTACTTGTTAGCTGTTTAAGTATTAGAAAATCATTCCTTAGAATCAAAATGGTGTAATATGGTGACAGTATAAGCCTGTGCTCTTTTCACCTTCCTACAACTAAGTGGTGATGTCAAGAGAAAAGCTAGATGTGGGTTTGAGATCCACACTTGGAGCAGGGGTAGGGAAGAGACAGAGTGAGTCCAGGAACAATTATGAAGTGGGCAGAGAATCTTCACTCTCCTCTCAGGCTTTTTCCCGTTCTCAGGCAGCTCCTCAACCTCTGCACTCATTCTGCTCCTTGGCGACTGTGGTGACTCCACCTAATGCTTTGGACATGATCTACACATAAATGTTCGCACTGTGTTTGGTGACATCTGTCCTCACTTGCCAAGGTCCTTCACCTTTGTGGGCCTTGAGGTCGTCGTCTGTACCAGCTGGTGGTCTCAGGCAAGTGACCCCTCTCAGGGTATTTGAGCTTGGAGCCCATGGACTGTCAATACTAATACCCAAAGAACACGAGTCTAAAATGGAGTTGTCTGACTTGGAGATAAGAGCGAAGAAAGAATCCTTTGGTCTCACAATCTAAAGAGCTGTGGATAGAAACATGTATTTACTAATACAGAACCATGCTTCAAAGCAGTGTTTCCCATCATTTTGATTGGTATATCGACAACCCTCCTCCCCATCGTCAATGCCAGCAGGTGGAAGTAACACAGTCCATCTGTTGGCCCACTTCAGGGACTGGCTGTGTCTTCTTACTCTATCTTCCCTCTAAAAGACACTTTCCTTTGGAGACTACTCTAGTGGAGGTGACATTCTGGGGTGAGATAGACTCTTTAGTGTCTGTTATTCCACCAGCCCTGAATCCAGGAGACCTAGGAGGAGGGTGTTCTGAAGGCGTGAATTTTTTTCCCTGTTGCAGGAACATGGTAATTGCTATGTAATTAGGACTAAGAAAAGGCCTGCTCCACTGATATTTTCCAGGGAGCTGCCATTGAAACCCGGCTCTGCCACCAGATCCCTCCAAGCCTCAGGTTGCTCAGGACTAATATAAGTTGAGGCTAATAATGCCCACTTTGAGGAGTATGTGAGGGTGAGAGTAGGTAGCCTAAATTCAGTGGAATGGATAAGGACCTGTTGCTGGTGGTAGTTTTTCAAATTCAAATCCATCCTCTGCCACTTTGAGTAGCCTTGGGCAAGTTATTCATTCTTGCACTGCCTGTTTCTGCACGTGGAAAATGGGGTTAATGATAGTATCTATCTTGTGGGATTGTGGTACAATTCACCCAGCATAGTATCTAGCATATAATAAGCAGTTAAACAAAAAAATGGGAAAAGATATGTTAACATGTACATCTATATATTACTGATAACTTTTTTAAAGTGTATCTAGTGTCTTCTTTTTTACCAATCTGTCATGAAAGGAGAGGCCCAGGGAAATTCTCAGATAACCACCTCCCGCCAGTGTTCTCTCTCATTTGGGAAACTTTGGACACAACCCAGGGGCTTACAGGGTTTTCCTTCCCTTCAACCTTCTCACAATACCCCCTTGCCATAATGTACACCCAAAGATAAGCCCTTAAGGTTCACAATTTTACTTTGAAGTTAGGAGATCTCAGGGGATAAACACTAAACCATAGAATTTTAGTACCAAAGTGTCAATTTAAAGCTACAAATAATTTTCAGCATTTGCAGGCTTGGCATCACCTGGGAGGTTCACAGCTTCTCTATTCTGGCAAAACCACAAGTGACCTTTTGTCTGGGCTAATGTAAAGCTGGTCTCTACTTATTCGTTCTGGAAAAATGGAGACAGAATATAGATGTTTTTAAATGAAAGATAAAATAATGTGGTTTGGTGCATTAGTGGCATGAAATGTTCTCTTTCTCTGTAAGGTTTTAGACTATCCTGTGTGAAAAGCATGTTCACTGTGCTTTGTCTGAGTTTGGGGAGACAGAATACCTGTGCATGCAATAAGTTACAGGAATCCAGCTTATTACTTACAGCTAGGCAGCAGACAACAGAAGCCTGAAATTCACGTGAGACAGTCCCCCAAGGCTTAGGAAAGCTTCCTGGGGCACACGGAGCCTCATCTGCACATGCCCACCTGCACCAGCGCTGAGGACTCCAGGAAGGCAGCTCACCCTGGGTTTTATACCCAAGGGAAACAAGAATCACTGGGCTAAAGCATTGAAGGACATCTTGTTTTGGGGGTGTGGGGTAGTGGAGGGACTAGAACAGATCCCAGGATGTTGGATTCCCAGCACATTCTAATTATTCTTGAGAGCTACAAGCCAGAAAGTGGGAAGAACTGGGCCCAGTCCAAGGCCTCGAAAACTGTCCTGCACTACACTTGTATTGTTGACTTGTTCTGAGAAGGGGTGTGTGTGTGTGTGTGTGTGTGTGCGTGTGTGCATGTACCCATGTCCACATGCAGGACATATAGGACAGCAGGAGTGGAGAGACTCCATAATCAAGCTCTTCACCTCAAATTGGAGAGGAATCTGGCAAAAGATTGGACTTTTTGAAAATCAGAT